TCTAAAAGAAACACAATTGTGGCAGCTAAAGTCTGAAGGAAACGCTGGCTGCAAACTGTGAGTGTGTAAATTAATAGGGTTACCAATCAACGCCGCATCATTAAGGCACAGGTAGAGCTTACTTTAATTAAATTAGTGGGCTGCTTAGATGTATTCTTGTGCCAGTTGAGACAATTTCAGGTATTTTTTCTCAGCTACAAACCTGACAGCGTGTATAACTGTTTCAGGAGCAAATAAAGAGAAAAGAGAAATAATTCAAACCTTGCCTACAAGGTAATGTCTTAGGGTAAGGTCCCTATACAAATGCCTACAGTACACTGAACTGGCTTTGAAACAGTTTTCTGCCTGGAGGAAAAAAATGAATCAAGGAATGAAGTTCCCTCTGCTACGAATCCGTATCTCTCACAGATATAAGACATGACAGCTTAGCTTGGGTAAAACTTATTCACCTTTCGTAGGACGGGTTAATCAGGAAGACAAACCGCACGACTTACTTTGCGTCTCTTCACTTTTTCTCCTGCTTGTTTGCATGCATTAGCTCCTTCCCGGTGCTTGCTTGCTTTCAGTATTTGACTTTTCGCTTTTGGATTTGCTGTATTTTTGCCCTTTTTCATTAAAAACAAAAGAAAAAAAAAAAGGGAACGACTCCCTTTTAACCTGCCTATTCTATGTTTGACTCCTTTTTTGAGTAACAGTATCTACTGCTTTCAGGTGACATGAGTTTTACTAATAGCCTGTAGAAACTGTTGTATATGAATATGCATTGTGCCTTAATTAATCTGTGTTTCTAAAGGGACCCTTACCTGACTGTCACACTTGGGTCGTGTGTGACTCCACAGTTCATAATGGCTTTAGTTCCTTTGATAACGCTCTGGTCCTGTGGGGGGGTGGTAATCCGAGTGCGAGCTGTGGACACAAAATAAAGAAGAAACGAAAGAGACAGACGGAGAAAAAGATGAAGGAAGTGAGAGAGGAGAAAACGGTCGACAAAATGTAAAAAAAAAATGAATTTCAGAAAACTCATTTCAGTCGAAATGACTTGCTCCTGGTTTGTCTTTTGTCTTTTGATGGCTTCTTGAAGAAAACACCAAAAACGATGACTCCAGACTTGCACAGAAGAATGCTTTTCTATTTAGCAATTGAGCATTCCTTTGTTATTATACAGCACAACCTTGTTTCCTGTTAAACACACGTCTCTCAGTAAAACCGCACTACTCTTTCATTTCCTGTTTTTATCACAAAGTGAGGACTTTTTCAACACATTGCATCAGGTATATGTGTTTTTAAAAGCCCACTTACCCCAAACAACAAGGTCAGCAGAGGCCTCGTCAATGCCCCTTGAGTTGCTTGCCATGCAAGTGTAGGTCCCGGCATCAGAGATGTGTGAAGGCGAGATGAGCAAGCTGCCTGATTCGAGCAGGGTGAACCGGGGCAGCTGGACTGAACCGCTGGCTAACACGCGCTCACCTGGCATATGGGAACGGACAGCAGAAGTGGTAGGCAGAGAGAAAAGGGTCACACAGAACAGAAGGATAAAAATGAGAAAAGCAGATTGTCAAACACAAGGATGGTGCTTCCCTGATCTGCTATTGGAATGCAAACACAAAAACATGGCAAAAGGTAAATCCCAGTAAAGGAATCAAATCAGGCTTTATTTGTTAAGCCACAGCAAACTGTGGTCCCAATGTTTTACAGATAACAGACATCACAATCCCTCGTGGTGTGCGTATGCGTGTAAAAGAGACCTTTTTGCCAGGTGATAGCTGGTCTTGGAGCTCCAGAGGTCTCACAGTGCAGAATGACTGACATCCCGTCGATCACAGTGCTATCAGAGGGTCCAGCTGTGATATTCGGGGCAATGCCTGAGGGTAGACAAACACACACTGAATAAAGGAAGCTCAGTACAGTAACGAGAGAGGGTAAGAGGGTTATAGAGGTGAGAGAATAACTGTCTGTGGCAAAGCCCCACTTCAAACGTATTTCTTGTAAGCAGCAGCCAGCTGCAGTGTTTAGTCGACGCTTTGTCCCCCTAATTCCAAACGGATTGACACAGGCTTCACCTCGGTGCCATAACTGTCTGCTGCCGGTCTATTTTTCGCACCCGCAGAGATAGCGGATATGAAAGGAAGGAAAAGAAAATGAACAGAGAAGAAGTATAGACAGAAAAGGAAGGCAATTTGTAGATAACTAAAATCCGTATTTATGATATGCAATAAATCAAAGCTTTTATAGGATGACAGAAAACTGTATCACTCCCGGAGGAAAGGAGGAGTAGGGAGTTGTCATAGGTGCGCTGCTAATCTCAGGACACAGGGAGTGGGGCTGAAGGAGAAGTACAAACATGATTGTGTTGACAAAAAGGAAGACGATAAGATGAGATCATAGAAGGAGGGGGGGGAGAGAAGAAGAGGAGAGAAAAACAGGGAGGGAAGGGGTGATTTAGCGAGATGGAATATTATGAATTCTGATAACGCGGCGCGGCGTGGAGCGAAGGCAGCAGGAACTGAGACAAAGTGAAGAAAATTAGATGTCAGAAACTTGCCAAACAGATGCACAGTGAGAGTAAAATTAGCAGTTATTTTCAAATACCAACAGTGGCAGAAGCGCAGGGGGAAAAAAAGACTTCTAAATTCCCATCATTTAGGTGATTACAGTTTAGCAGCAAACGTGATTAATGTTTCGCCTTTCCACAGTAATGTAAACTTAATCGTTGTGGGCCTAATTGTTAGTTTATATAGGGAAGCTTCCCTTCTGCAATATTGTCAACCGACAGCGACGCCGCAATCACGACTCTGCTGTCAGACGTAGTGCACATCCAAAGTGTTTTTCTTCACCTGCCTAGGTATCGGATTTCTTAGTACGAGACAAAAATGCCACTACTACAGAAAAAAAAAGATGCATCTCTATGTTTTTTTTTCTTCCTGTAACCAAAGTTTTGTTTGTGGTTTTCATCTATATTTCATGTCCCAAGTTGAGTGTTTCTTGCAGTGTTTACAGTAAGTCAGGTTCTTGTGTGATGAGAATTAGTTCATTTTCCAAAGGCAGAGAACCAAGAGTGCAGCAGTTTGTTTAACAGACTGTCACTTTTTTCTTTTTATTTGGACTTTTATTCACTCGGCGTCGGGCCCTTGAGCTCACACGCTCATTTACAGCAAAACCCTACTTCACTTTTTGCACTGCATTTTGTGCAGTTTGTCCTGGGAGATTGGCCATTACTAGCCCAGTCACACACAGGTCACTGCTTTGTTTGGTACCATGATGTCAATTTCTTTTTTAAATGAAAATAAAGACTTAACTTGTCTTTATAATCACAAATTTAGCTTTTTTTTTACTTGAATTGCAGAGAGTAAATCCATACATCCATTTATAACCATTCTATGCAAAAGTCAACCTGCTTTCAGTATTCTGAAATGATTCCATTTTTAAAATACTACGCTTTTGACATTTCTAAAGCTGAAGCTTAGCAGAGCTGCATGAATATTTAACACATTTCAGTAAAAGAAAAAGTGAATGTTTAGCTCAAATTCAGCACTTTACAACATGTTTAATAATAGCAATTACGGGTGAATTAATTCCTTGAAAAGCTGCTGGAGCACTTACTTGTAACAGCCAGGTATGTGTTGGTCTGAACTTCTCCGGCTGAATTTCGGGCAAAGCACTGGAACATGCCGGTGTCATCAGGCAGTAGGCCGTTGACCTGGAGGCTGCCTCCCACCAACACCCTGTACCTGGGTGTCCTCACTGGGTCGATAGGCAAAGCATCCTTGTACCACACGATGTCTGGCTGGGGCACTCCTGCAGAGGGTGGGCGAGTGAGAGTTTGGGGGTTCAGTTCAAACATTTCTCCTCTGATAGGGTTTACTTTACATTCTCTTATTGTAATACCAGCGAGCTCTCACCCCGTGCCTGACAGGGAATGTCAACCACCTTCTCCATCTCAGCTGTGATGTGTTTCTCCGGTTCTTTTATAAACTGCGGTGGCTCTGAAACAGCAGACACATTAGTGAAACACAAAAACAACGACGCGAGCTTAAAGCAGAAGTTATTTCTGCTTTTAAACGTATTGAATTTTGGGCCAAATATCTGACAACGCAGCAGAACACGGTGAGACTAGTTTGATTATAGAAGTGAGTAATTGGTATTCTGTAATGGTTAGGCTATCCTTCAAACGTATAGGGGGGGTAGAGGAAAGGCTCAGTTAGCAGTATCGTGGAAAAAGTCCCCCCCTCTTCCACCTTGTGCTTTGAATCACATCATAACCCTGAAAACATCAAAGTGTTTCAGTCAGATCGAATAAATGTGACTCAAGCAATGCTATTAAACCATTTCTTGAGGCCAACCATTAGTTTTCTCCCTTTTAAATCAATAACACTTCCCCCTTACTGCCTCACAACTTCACAGTCATGCTTTTACCACATTTATGTAGTGAGACTGAATATTTGCATCAAGCTCGCACAGTCACTCTTGTCTGTTAAAGTTCACTTCTACATATGTGACGCATGTGGGTCGCTACACGGAGACGCTGACATGAAGGCACATACAACTACCTACCAAAACTGAAAATATTAGTCTGTTCTTTAACTTGACCATAATAAAAAAAGGTTATAAACACCGAAAAACTATGTTAAACCTTAAGGCCAACAGGCAAAGAATAGAAATACAAACATTATGGTAATGTGCTCCAAATACTGAAGTTGTATAAAATGCAAAAGCAAAGGCGCTGATATCAAATAACAAACAAAGCATGAGGGAGAAGAATGACAAACTTATCTTGACTTTGAAGCAGCAAGGAGAGAGCAATTCCTTAATATGTGTGCTTTCACTCGAATGTGTTTCTGTCCTCAGGCAGCACTGAGCACTAAAAACTCAAATAGTATTTGTGATGCAGTGTCTGAGTAAACCTACAAGGTAATCGATCATGAGCTCTCAAAGTGCTACCCGCGGGCCAGCGGTGCCCCATGGAAATATTTTATGTGGCCAGAGGGTGTGAAAAGGAAAGGATTCACGACTGTGGGTTTAGTTTCTCCGCACTTCGTGTTATGCTATGACAAAGTAGCTCTCGACGAGACCGGGGTTTCTATTCAATTTTAAGCAGATCATTGCAAACTAAACCTGACAAATGCATCTGTTTAAAAAAAAAAAAAGAAGCCTAAAAGTGGTTGATATGCATTTTTATATATGGCCTTCCATCATTTGCTGGGTTCCTAAGTGGCACTCAGTCATATAAACTTTGTGAACCATTATAATAGTCAGACATTCACATGAAATTCTGGGAATGTTTTTTTTTATTGCTTTTGCCCTCTAAGAAAAAAATGTGTGAACTGGTGTGAAACTATGAGGTAATGAGTTTCATAAATAGATATTGTCACCTGGAAGTGTGCAAGTATTGGGAAAAATTACAGCTAAAAGTACTAAGTGATATTAATAAGCAAAAATAATAGACGCAAGACCCTGCCAGGAACATATTTTAGCCTTTAGCTCTTACCAAGGACATGCAGATAAGCTCCAGCACTGACTGAAGGCACGCTGCTGCTGCGCAGAATGGCCTCGCACTCGTAGTAGCCGGCGTCGCTCACCACAGGACTCAGGATGGTCAGTCTGCGGTTGAAGTCACTCAAACCGCTGCTCACCAACACGCCGTTCTTACGCCATGTGATACTCAGCTTGATAAGAGGTCTAGTGAGAGGAAAGAAGGATGTGAGATGCGTTTGTAACATCCACGTCCCTGTGAGAATGCTCGTTTTGTGCTAGCCCATAAAGCCTCACAGTGTGACACGTCACATAAGCAGACATAAGCAAATTATAATTATACAGCTGAAGTACATTTAGCTTCTGACTCTTTACCATTAGAATCTAGCACCGTAGATGTTTTTGGTTCTATTTGCCCAGTTTTCTGAGTTTTGCCCCTGACATGCAGCAATATATCACCAACGGTCATTTCACTGGGACTATTTTTCTTTTCAACTGTGAAAAATAGCCCCATAAAATCCTCTATTTTGGACTGTACCGAATCATTTGAAACCCTGCACTTCCAGGAATTTTTACCTGGCATTGGCCACACACTCCATCGTGACCTCTGATGTGCCTGTGACCACACTGGTGTTCCTGGGAGGGATGATAATGGTGGGGGCAATGGGATCTGCTGGACCTCCAACATCTAGACACAAAGTCAGGTCGCCACACAAACATGTCAACAAAACATGGAGATGTTAAGCAAAGATCAATGAACCTGATAGATGGGAATAGGATATAATTAACAGAGGCACAATCTGATGAGATTTCATTGGGTTCTTTGGATTGTAGTGACCTATAAATTTCATTTCCACCCAGCGGGTGCTCATCGACATGAAATATTGAAACTGACCAGTGCACGCACTGGATCTGAGTTCTGACAGAGAGATTGGTCAGATACGATGAGACAGTGCACTCACTGTGTATAACAAGATATACGCCGGAGAACCAGAAGCAGCGATAGAAAAATACTGTTTGACTTACATGAGGCTTAAGAAGCGAAGAGGCTGTTGTGTGCGTGTGTCCGCATGTGCCCGAGC